AACCCTAACCCTAACCCTAACCCTAACCCTAACCCTAACCCTAACCCCCTAACCCTAACCCTAACCCTAACCCTAACCCTAACCCTAACCCTAACCCCCTAACCCTAACCCTAACCCCCTAACCCTAACCCTAACCCTAACCCTAACCCTAACCCTAACCCTAACCCTAACCCTAACCCTAACCCCTAACCCTAACCCTAACCCTAACCCTAACCCTAACCCTAACCCTAACCCTTGAGTTGCCTGACATGGATATTGGGAACCAAACTGGGGTTGTCTACAAGAGCAGCATTCACTCTTAACCGCTGAGCCATCTCTTAAAAGAGGCAGTCTGTTTGACAAGGCTCTGGTTTTCTCATTGTAGACAGAAGAGCCCTAAATAGTGTCAACGGCACCACCTCAGGTAAGCGGATCATGATGGCAGTGAGCACCTTTCAGGGTGCCCCAGCCTGCAGCAGGGGATGGAGGGATGGTTAAAGGGGCTCCAGCATCCCACTCCTGCCAGAGGTTCAGCTATATATTGCCAGATTCTGGAAACACAAATAAGAGTTTGCTATGCGGGCTGGAGAGATGGCTCAGTGGTTAAGAGCACTGACTGCTCTTCCAGAGGTCCTGAGTTCAAATCCCAGCAATCACATGGTGGCTCACAACCATCCGTAATGAGATTGTATGCCCTCTTCTGGTGTGTCTGAAGACAGCTACAGTGTACTCATAAATGAAATAAATAAATCTTAAAAAAAAAAAAAAAAAGAGTTTGCTATGCATTCAAGACATTTCCTGTCCCTGGAGGAAGCCACCGCACCAGTGAGTCTAAATTCACTGTGTGTATCCTTTTCCTGGTTTCGGGAGAGAAGATTTAGCATTGTAAATAGTGTGCTGGGAATTCTTTTTTTTTGGGTGGGGGGTGTCATCAGAGTCTCATATAGCCCAGGCTAGCCTCAGACTTGCTATAAAGCTAATGGTCTTAAATTTTTTTAAAAAAGATTTTTTTTTCCAGAAAGTATATGCATGAGGTTCTCCTCCCCCATTTGTATGGCTGTGCACTGTGTATGCGCAGAGGCTGGATCCCTTGGAACTGGAGTTACTGAGCCACCCTGTGGATGCTGGGAACTGAGCCCAGGATCCCTGGATAAGCAGTCAATGCTCTGAACCTGACCAAGAGCTCCCGATTCTCCTTCCTTCACCTTAAGTTCTACTACACCTAGTTCCCAGTCACTGTGGGTGCTATGTCTGTAGTCTTTCCTAGAAATTCACGATGGTGGCTCCTGATCCTCCCATTGCTGAGGGCTCAGGCCTTGTTAGGGTGGTAATGCAATTCCAGGCCTCCCCACCTGCATCATGCAGTTTAATTTGTGCCATGGTGTTTGTGTCCTCTTCATGAGAGCTGAAGTCTGCTCTGGGAAGAGACTGACATTCCAGTGGTTTAGACAGAGTAGAAACTGAGGCACAGAAAATTAAAGGGAGGTGTGTTATCTTTATAAAGAGTGTCTGGAGATGTCATAAGAGATGACTGCAAAGTGGGGGTCAGCTCATCAGGGATGTACTGTCTCATCATTCTAATGGCTAGGTCTCCCAGTGGATGAGGGTCCCTCCTGCCTTTCCACCTACTAGGAACTGGCAGTCTTTGGCTTGAGGTGACTTAAACTAGTGTGGCACCATCTTCAGATGGCCCTCTTCCTGCCTGACCAATCCTTGGAGTATGTCTTCCCCTATAAAAATCTATCCAACTAAGATCCGAGTTGTAGGCAACAGATCAGGACATGGGTTTATCTTTTGGAACCCATAGATCACCTTAGGGTAGGTTGGTCCTAGGATCTATCTGGTCAGGCCCTGATGTCACATGGTGTAGATCTCCCAGTCTGGCCCTCCAAATGCATGGCATCTCATCTTCTCAATGTGCCTTGAGTGGAGCTAACTATCTTGCCAGGCACTGCCCTGAATGCTGGAGGCCTCATTAGGGTAAGAAAGGGCAAGGTCAACCACCTTAAACTGTTCACCCAGAGCTTCTGGCATTCCTAGAAGAGACCAGAAGTTCCTCCCAGAAGGAAGACTGAAGCCATGTCAGGTTTGGCTGCTTTCTGCCACGACAGTCTTGATTGGCCCTGTCCCAACCTGGGTCTCCTGACCACTTGGGATTACTTGAGGACACAAATAGCCTCTCCTACCTTGAGAAGCAGAATCTCAGAAATGCAGCTTTCCTCCAGAACATTCAAGAGATGTAAATAGACTCTGTAAGACTCCGACCCTCAGTCAGCGGCACTTGCTTTGAGATACCCCAAGTGAGACACCAAGATGCAGATCGATGCAAAAGCAGAAGGTTTATTTTCTGGCACATTGGGGTAGACTTTCAATCAGTCCCTCAAGGCGAGTGACGAGAAGGCAACCCCAAAATGGTTATTACAAGCAGTTTTTCTACTTTTCAGGGGCACAGGTTACACCAGCAAGGTTACAGTTCAACCTTATTGGCTAAACATATTGACCTTTAAATCTATTGGCTAGCAAGTATGGGTGGATCATGACATGCATTTGAACTCTACCTGGGACTTTCCAGAGGGTCAGGTGACTATCAGTCAGTACATTCTGAGAATTTTTTTACTCAAGAATGTTCCTGTGGGTGGAGAACGGAACTTGGCCTATCCTTGACCAGATGCAGGAAGCTGGAACTTGGCCAAGTCTTGACCCAAAACAGGAAGCTGAAACTTAGCCAAGTCTTGACTGGAAACAGGTGGGTGTAAGGCTGGCAAAAGTTCCTAGGGCCCTTCAACTCTTGTGTGTGTGTGCATGTGTGTGTGTGAGAGAGAGAGTGCGTGCACACACGCATGCACACACACGCGCACACACACACGCGCGCGCACACACACTCATACACTCATACACTCATGTGTGTTTTTTTCCCCTAGCCTCCACTATGCTGTGAAGCTCTGGAAAGAGCAGATGGCATCCCTGAAGCTCCCTGGATTTAAGGAAGTTGAGATTCCTGAACATGGAAACTGAGGAAACAATGAACAGTGGCAAGCTCAACACTATTATTTCTAAACTTAAGACAGACCTTGCAGGAATGTGTTTACAAACTATGACAATTTAGCTGCTAAAAATTATGTCAAGTGTCCTTTGGTACCAGACTGAAACATTCCAAATAGCCCAGCTGAATTTGGAGCTGACACTCATCCTACTGTATACCCTGTGGACCCTAAGATGTGTAATGTGCCTTTCTCTCTTGTGAAACTCAGCAGTCCTGTATGCAGCCAGAGGGTTTCCCTCCTCGAAGCCTGCCATGGCTGGCCTTAGAGATTTGAGGTTTTGTGCTGTGAACTTGTAAGCTAGAACCAATTTGGGTTCATGGTACTCAGAATGTCTTCCTAGAAGCCAAGGATGGGAGGACCCAAAATAGTTGTCCTTTGAGCCCACATCAAGATGTGGCCAAGACAAAGTGCTTTGTTATACATATAAATTCATAACAAAGTTCCCTGACTGGCCAGCCTGAGCCACTTGAACTTTGCCACATCCAACACTGGGAATAGTGTCTGTGTTTGTAGGTTCTCCATCACCTGGGTGTCTAAGAACTAGCCTTAGTCTTCATTCCTCTCAAACTACGCTGAGCAGGTGTAGGTGTGAATGACAATTTCTCATAAGCTATGTTTAAATAGGTTAATTGATTAATTTATTGTTAGTATTCTTTTGTTTTGGAGTTTTTGAGAAAAGGTTTCTCTGTGTAGCCTTGGCTGTCCTGGATGTCCCTTTGTAGACCAGGCCGTCCTGGAACTCACAGAGATCCACTTGCCTCTACCTCCCAAGTGCTGAGATTAAAGGCATACACTATTACTCCCCGGCTTAACATTTTAATGATGTAGGGAAGCATAACTTAGGCTAGACTTAGGCTATAACTTAGGTTAGTTCCAACCTAGAACATAGCAATGTCTTGCCTCCCTCTGGGTCAGAACTAGCATCCTGTAGAGGACACAAGGTCCTTGTGGTCACAGGGAAGCACATCAGAAACCAGAAATGTTAAACGCACAGGGTTGTCTCCTCAACAAGGAAGCTGTAGACCTGTTTCCAGCCAGAAGTCTGGGGATGGATGTAGTTAACATCCTGCTGATCTGTGTCATCTGTAGATCCAGGCCACACTTGAATCTCCCAGACTTTGTTTATTCTAGACTCTTCCTCTATAGGCCTTTTTCTTGAGCATTGTTGCTCAAAAAATCCTGTCTTTATGGGATATGTCACTTGTGCCCTCCCCCAGCCTTGAGCAAGCCAGAAAGTCCTTGTTTCCACAATAGACCTATTGTAATAAGACCTAGGTGGAGTCATCCACCTTGGCTTCAGGTACAACTCCTATAGGAACTTAGAAGAATAGACTGCCCACTGAGCTTGCTTTGTGACATAATCTGACTGAAACAAAAGATGGATTTGAAGGGGCTTTCCCTATATTAAACGATATATATATTAAAGCTGAATATTAAACTTTGAGCCTTGATCGGAAAACTTTGTCTTAGCTTCATATTTTTTCTAGCCCTTCAGTCTCTTTTTCATTTCAGCCCTCCTTTCAGGTGAACCCAGTTCGTCCATGGCCACTGGTGGCTATAGGTGGTGCCCAAATGATGGGCCCGTTGTGATGGCAGCTGTTGCAGTGAACCTTGTCCTGGCCTCTGCTGAGGACAGAGCGACACAGCACGGGTCAGAGCCAGACCGGGATGAACAGTGGGGCCAAATCGGGAATGGGCGAGAGTGTCAATTATGAGCTGGCAAAAGCTGGTGAGGCTGGGCTTCAATGAAGCCTTGGCCAAGGGGACCTTCGGGACATTAGTATTAAGGGTACTTAGAAATCAAATTCTGAGGATGAAGTGGTGGTGGGGGAGGGGGGAGGAGCTTGGGCCGGCAGGAGAGAGGGAACGCGGAGGTGCTAAGTGAATGAATCTCACTCAACCTTTGGGGAAGAGGCAGGCCTGAGTGGGGCAGTCAGCCGCCTGAGGACAAAATAGGGTTTGTGGTAGAGGTGGGGCATGAAGGCAATGGCCATGGGAGTCAGGGGGCTGCATTGTTTGGGGAGGGGGTGAGAGGGGACTGTGTCTTGGAACCAGGAGCCTGGAAAGGAGGCTGGCTCCATACTTAACGCAGGGGTGTGGCATGTGTTACTAAACGTTGCATCAGTTGCAAGAAACAGCCTACCAGTACCTGTGAACCCAACAAGCTTGGTATTTTTTTGTTTTTGTTTTTGTTTTGTTTGTTTGTTTGTTTTCCTCCTCTAGCTAAGGTCACCTTCCTAGCAGGAAAAAAGTGCAAGTGGTTTACAAAAGGTTATTTGGGAATTTTTTTTCTATGTGATAATATTTTGTAATCAGTAGAAATGGCTATTTAAAAAGAATTCATAGCTTTTGACAAATTGTCTAATTAGACAAATCTAAAAAAAAATGCTAATCAGTACCTCATAAAATTTACTGCTTTCTGGGTTCCTATTTCTTTCTGAGTTGCTTCTCTTTTTTTTAAATTGTGAAAATAGTAAGATCTGCAAAGATTATAGTATAAACCGTTTTACATAAATTGATGGACATCCTGCTGAAAGAAATGGTTTGTATACTTCAAAAATGGCAAGGTCATGAAAGACATATGCTGAAGAACTGTTCCAGATCGAAGGAATTAATGCAGTTTAACAAGTCTATGTGACACGTGATCCTCATTTGGAACCTAGAATGGAAAAATAAATTATTTTTTAAAATGAAAAAAAAAGAAAAAAAATGGAAGAAGAGTATCCCTCACATGGTAAGCAACGAACAGCATTGATGCTAGTGAAGACCTCCGCAGAGGGGAGACCCTCTCTCAAGTCTCAGAAAGTCGCGACCACCCAGTAATCTGCTCGAGACACCGTGTACCGGAGCAATTGCGAGGTTGTTTATTAGGGCGTGACAACTAGCTGCCGGTCAATTCGTATGCCCACGCAGGAGCTGGCTGAATTGACCCCGACAGACAGTTTGAGAAGGGTTTTTAAGGGGAAAAACCACAAACCAAGGAACGGGGAGGGGGTGAGAGGTTGCTAGGGTGGTGTAACATGAAAATAGTGGAACATTCCAAAGGAACCCAACCTACGGGAGTCAGGGTCAGGTGAAAACTCTCTGTACGCTTATCTTTCTCAAGAATGTGGTCCTGCCCTGTTACTTCGGCCTTGCCCTGTCACTATGGTTCTCAGCTTGGTTCCACCTGGCTAAATTGCATTCTAGCCAGTCTGTCCACATTCTTAACTTGCTTCATGCCTCCATGTCTTTGTAAAGAAAGCCTAAAGAATATTTTATGTCTAAAAAGGATTCTATATACCCAGTATCTATAATTCTTCACTCTACACTAGCACTAGTTACCTTTTGGAGGCTGTATTGCAGGAAGTACATAAGGATACAGGCTAGGCTGAATAGGTGTTGACCCAATGCCAACTTCACCTAGGGGATGACAGCGAAATTTCGAGTGGGGGGAATCATAGGCTGTAAGACTCTTATGAGCCTCAGCTCACCAGAAACCCCGAGTGAACCACGTGCAGACATGAATTGATGCAAAAAGCAAGAGGAATTTTAATGATCCAATGCTTTGGGATCGTCCTGCACCCAAGGGAGGGGCAATGACCCCAGGCAGCCCATTTGGTAAGTTTTTATACAGTTTAAGGAGTAGATAGAGAAACAGTGACTAGCAAAATATGATTGGCAGAACAGTGTGACTTTTAAACTGATTGGTCTTTAGGGAATGAGGTGGCAGGGACTTCCCTTGTCTGCAGGTGGCAAGGGTTGGTCCTTCCTGAAGAGTGTTTCTACATGCTCTGGGCCTTCCTCACCCACAGGGTGAGGAAGTTCCCTCCCCTGTGGCCTGAGGAATGTTAATCAGCCTTTCCCATCTGGCAAGTGTCCCATGACCTTTCCAAAGTTCCTGAGCTAACCAGGAATGTTAATTAGCCTCTCTATTCCTGAGGGACAAGTGTTCCAAAGTTCTTGAGCTGACTACTTCAAGGCCTTCATTCACAGCCTAAGAGCTACCTCAGGTGAGAAAAGCAGGGTTAGAAGGAATTGGAAAGTTAAGAAAGCAGGGTGCTAAAAAGTAACTATCAGTAGCTGCCGCTGCACCTCCTAAGAAGAAGATAAAAAGTTAGACCTTGAATATGAGAGAGAGAAAGGGTTTCAGAAAAGCAGTTGTCCTCTCTCCAGCTGTGTTAGCAAAAGAGAAGGGAAATAAGCTATTTCAGAGAAATCCTAGGAACAGGAGAAAATCAGAATATGTCCTGCTTTCTCTCTGGCTCCTACTGGAGAAATCCTTAGTTCTGGTTTCTCTGTCTAGTGTCTGTCCTTGGAGAGTCAATCTGTCCACTTGTATCAATTGTCTGTTTTTTGTTTCATCATTTGAATGATTGTTGTTCTATGTTTCATGTTCAAAAGAAAAAAATGGTTAAAACTTTTGTTACATAGTTGGCTTATGAGAATGCTAACTACAGTCCAAGCCATGCTTTCACAGCGCCGAGGTGATAAGGGATGTTCTAAGTATGGGTGCATAGGTCATTTTAGGAAAGATTGTCCAAAAAAAAATAGAGGCATAGGCAGACAGCAAAATCACTCCCCTAGAATCTGTCCTCAGTTCAGAAAGGATAATCATTGGTCCAGGCCTCAGGAAATAGGCCCAGATTAAGAACATTTACATTTGAGTTAAAACAAAGCTCAGAGTGGGCTCAGCAGAAGCTTGTGTGGCATTCCTTTGTTTTGGTCATCCTGACCAGCCCTAGAAAGATGTTTTCTGGAATTTGTTTATTGCCTTGCTTGTTCCTTGGAGAGGAGGGGTCAGCCTCAGACCAAAAGACATTCACAACAGACAGCTTATGGGCCAGGAGTTAGAGATAATGATTGTGCTGGAGAAATTAAAATCATGTCTGCTTCCCTCCATGGCATTATAGCAGTGCCTGCTAATAAAAGAATTACTCAAAGAGTAAGAGAGGACAAGACTGGCCTTCAACTTGGCTTTTATCTGATACTCTCACTCAGCTACAAGGAATTGGATATTCCATTAATCCAAAACAAAGTTCAAACTTAAGATTTACAAAACTTGTGAGGCATTACAGCCTAACTTGCCTACTCCAGCTGCCATACCAGGAAATGCATATAGAATTATTATGGATTTAGAAGATTGTTTTTATACCATTCTTTTACATCCTTGTGAAGGTGGGAGGGTCGCATTTAGTAAGTTTGCTTGTAATTTTGGAGAGCCGATGAAGTGATATCATTGGAAAGTTTTACCTCAAGGAATAGCTATTGTCTTACATTATGTAAAAAATTTGTTGCTGCTTCAATACAAGAAGTTAGGAGTTTAAATCTCTCAGTGTATATTATTCATTGTATGATAATGATATTTTATTAGCTAATCCCTCTGAAGGAGTTTTACTGAAAGCTTTTGCTCTCATACAACGAGCTTTAAAATTTTGGGGAATGCTTGTTGCTCCAGAAAACATTCAAAGACAATATCTTTTCAATATTTGGGACCTCAGTTATAGCCTAAGCAGATTGTGGCACAGAAGATTCCAATAAGAAAAGATAGGTGGGGGTGGAGAGATGGCTCAACTGTTAAAGGCTAGCCTCACAACCAAAAATATAAGAGTTCAATTCCCAGCAACCACATGGTGGCTCACAACCATCTGTAATGGGATCTAGTGCCCTCTTCTGGCTGGCAGGTATGCATGCAAAAAAAATGGTTTACTTTTACTGATTTTCAAAGTTATTAGGAGATATTAATTAGCTAAGACCTCACCTTAAACTCACCATAGAAGGACTTAAACCTCTGTTTGATATTCTTAAGGGGAATGCAAATCCTAATTCCCCTGGACAATTAACTGATGAGGGATAAATAGCTTTACAAAAAGTAGAGGGAGCCATTATTAGCCAACAATAGATACATTATACAGACTAATCAATTGTTGGCTGTCCCACAGCAGTTCTTTGGCAAAAGGGACCATTCTAAAACTGTTGCCATGCTAATACAGAATTGTAGGTCAGGATCACAAAAGTATTTTGAGGAAGAACTTAATGAAATATTCCTTGTTCCAAACAACAATTAAATTGGTTATTGAAGAATACTGATATTTGGCCTATTGCATGGCAAACTTTTTAGGCAAAAATTGATAATTGATAATCATTATTCAAAAGACAAGTTGTTAGAATTCTCCTCTATGCATACTTTTGTATTTCCTGAAAATCTACGCATGCAGCCCATAGAAAAGGTATTTACTGTATTTAAAAACAGCTCATCTAATGGGAAGGTAGCATATGTAATTAGACATATTTATTCTCTTGACTTCTCCCTGCTTCAGCACAGATAATTGAATTGCGTGTTTTTGCCACTGTTTTTAAAATGTTGAAAAATCAAGTTTTTAATTTGTATACTGATAACCAATATATAGCTCATGATTGCTTGAAATTGTTACTTTTTTAGATACTACTAATTCTCAAATTTTACAGTTATTTATACAA